AGAAAACTCACAGTGGACACAAGGTTAAGGGCTGGTGTCTTCTTTCTTTCTTTTTTTTATATGTGGAACGCTTCACGATTTTGCGCGGCATCCTTGCGCAGGGGCCATGCTAATCTCCGTATCGTTCCAATTTTAGTATATGTGCTGCAGAAGCGAGCGCCCTTCTTTCTTTAATGGTACATTATAGATCTACATAATGATCACATTCGGCATAGGGAATCTGCACCTGTACATGATACATCTTGCTCCTTTTTCACCATTCCCCTCCCCTCCCTTCAACCCCTCTTCTCCCCCTTATTTACAAAAGCTTTGTTTCCATTTTTTCCTTCTATTCTTTTTTTCTTTTCCATTCCTTCCTTTCCCCCTTCCCCGCTCCCTAGTTCCCCTTCTCATTTGAACATTTTCTCCCCATTTCCCAATATCTGTTACACATTTTGGTCCTTATTTACACTTTGAGTTTCTCACACCAGAGAAACAATGTGATATTTAAAGATGTGTGTCTGATTTATTTCTCTTGAGTATGGTCTCAAGGTGCATCCATTTAGCTAGAAATGGCTCAAGCTTATCCTTCTTTATGGCACAGTAGTACTCCATTATAAATATAAAAAACCACATCTTCTTTATCCATTCATTGATTGATGGGCCTTTGGGGCTGTTTTCAAGATTAAGCTATTACAAACTGCCACCATAAACGTGGGTGTGCACATATCGCTGTGGTATGATTGTGGAGAGCGGTGTGTGGAGAGCGGTGTTAGCCAAAGAGGCTCCATTTTGAATCTTACCCTCCATTGTATAGAGCAAGGAGACGATGTTATGAGGAACCGCGTCCTTGCCGAATTAGATTGCCCTGGAACGTGATGAACGTTCTGTAACCCCGAGAAACAAGGAAGCCCACGAGGGTGGGGAATTCCCAAAGAACTAGAAAACATGGAAGCAGGTGTCTCTGGATAAGGGTCATGATTAACAACCAAACTCACCTGTTGTATAAAAGAGAGGAGAAAAACTTGGGCGCTCGGTCTCTGGGAGCCCTCCCGACTCTCTCTCTTTGTCTTTCTTTTTCTTCATCCTCACTCCCCCATTCAGGTACTGTTCGACAAGTGACGACGGGCTCTGTCATATGATGCTCTTAATTCTTTTGGGAAGAAACAGTGGACCCTCAAGCTATAATCAGCCTGACATGTGAACAGCTTGGATTCATTAGGTTAATGGAAGATTCATCTGCCTCTTGTTATCTATAGCATAAATGCAGGTAAACATCCAGATCTCAACTGTACTGATTTAGTTACAACCAGCTCTTGGGAATCGATTGAGTTCGTAAGTCAGGGGTCCATTGTACCAAAGAGGGGACTAGCTGGATCAAGGGGAACCTCTAGTTTTTTGTTTTGTTTTGTTTTTTTGTACCGGGGATTGAACTCAGGACCTTGCACTTTCGAGGCAAGTGGCAGAACCACTGAGCTAAATCCCTGGTCCTCTAGTTTTTTGAGTAATCTCTACACTGATTTCCACAGTGGTTGCCCCAGTCTACACTCCCACCAACAGTGGAGAAGGGTTCTTTTTTCCCCCTCAGCCCTGCCAGCATTGTTATTGATTTCTTGATAATAGCCATTCTTTCTGGAGTGAGATGGAATCTCAGCATTGTTTAATTTGCATTTCTCGAATGACCAGCGATGTGAACATTTTTTCATATATTTATTTGTTGTTTGTACTTCCTCATTGGAGAAGTGTCTGTTCATCTCAGATGCCCATTCTTGGATTGGGTCTTTAAATTTTAGGGGGGAGGGTTTCAATGCTTTATATATTCTAGATATCAGTTTTTTGTCTGAGGAAAAACTGGCAAAAATTTTTTCCTACTCAGTGGGCTGTCTCTTCACTCTGTTGGTTTCTTTTGCTGTGCAAAAGCTTTTTAATAAGGTGAGATCCAAGGACCCGAGTTCAATCCCCGGTACCAAAAAAATAAAAAATAAAAAAATAAGGTGAGATCCCAGTTGTTGATTCTTTGTAATATTTCCTGTGTGATTGGGGTTTTATTCATAAAGTGTTGGCCTACACCAATGTCTTCAAGAGTTCTACCTATTCTATAGCATTATCCACTTTTACTGTCACCTCTGTGACCTTGAACATCCTTGGGATGTTTCTAGAAGTTACTCAGGTCTCAAAGTGCAAATATTGACTTGGTGGGTAAAGCCCTAAAGAGTTCAGAAGTCTGTGAAGTCTGCGCTTTTTGTTGGTCACTATCACTGCAATTATGCCCTGAAAGTCTTCATCCTCCTGGTTCTAGGTAAGGATCCGAAATAGCAGTGAAAATGAAATACTTAGCCACCCTGGGTGCGGTGGTGCACTCCTGTTATCCCAGCACTCTGGGAGGCTGAGGCAGGAGGGTTCCAAATTTAAGGCCAGCCTTAGCAATTTAGCGAGACCGTCTCAAATATAAGTTTTAAAAAGCCCAGTATGTGGCCTACTGTGAAGGCCCTGAGTTCAATCTCCAATCCTACAAAAGAGAAAAAAGGGGAAAAAAGAGCGAATAAATGCAGGACAAAGTTGGAAGAACAGTACTGAGATGAAGGAGAGATCAAAAGAAAAAAACCTGAATATCGCTCCAGTGCTTCCGGCACAGTTCAGGTTTCCAGACCTTAACAGCAAATAGACTGCCAGTCTCATTCGATCTCTGGGCATTCTCCAATGAGTCAACCAACCCACTTTCCACAGACCCTGTCTCCCGTCAGACCAAGGAGTCCTCCAGTGGCGAGACTGCTGTACCGCACTGCTGACGTAGGGATACGCAGGCCCCTCCCAGCACCCTCCACTCTGGGCAGGGACCTCCTTAGATCCCTGTCGGCCCTGCCACTGGAACACATTCACTGAAAGCACCACGTCTTGCTTGATAAATCCTCAGAGGAGCAGGGTTAGAAAAGATCAATTTGTCCTATTCACTGTGCCTGTTATTACAGATCTTGATAGCCACGCTTTGCCTCTGCACACTGCAGTCATAACTGAGGGACAAACCACGTCTCACTGGAGCAAATCCAGGAAGGCAGCCAAGCGTTGTGTTGATCAAACATTCAACTAAGGTTCATGAGCAGAGGCCCTTTTCTTTTTCCTTTTTTTTTTTTTTTAAAGTTTTCTGGGCCAGGTCCTCAGTGTGCAGCCGCCCTGGAGCTGCGGTCCTCCTGCCTCAGGGCTGCAGGTGTGTGCCACTGCACCCAGCCATAAGCGAGGACTCCAAATCTCAAAGAGTATGCAGGTCATCATCCATGCAATGAAGGATTATGAAGTGTGTGTGTGTGTGTGTGTGTGTGTGTGTGAGTGTGTGTGTGTACACATGGGTTAGGTTTCTGTTTGACTCTACCATGATTTGAGTCTACTCAGACATTTTTCACCTAAAAGGCTTAGAGGCTGGTTCAGTATGAAGACATTTTTACACATAGAGAAATTGATTTGAGCCCCTCAGCCCAAAAAGCATCTGGGCAGCATTACCTATTTTAAAAATTGTATCGAGTGTCTATATTCTTTAAGTAACATGCACTTTATGAGAAAAAAATGAAGGGTTTTTTTTTGATAATCCTACTTTTGTCAAAATATACATACAGCTGGTGATCCTAGCACACAGGGAAGCTGAGGCAGGAGGATCTAAAGGTCAAGGCCAGCCTGGGCAACTTAATGAGAATCTATCTCAAAATAAGCTTGGGGGGCCCTCAATGTGAAGGCCTTGCGTTCAGTCCCAGCACCACAAAAAAAGGAGAGACAGACAGAGAAAAGCATCCGAGCAAGCCTCCAAAGGAGAATGTCAGAGACCAAATTCACAAATCCACATGTAAGATGCAAATTTCTGAGATAAGCAGTTGTTTTCAAACTTTCTATTAATGTAATAGCCTGCCTCCAAAGCACAAGGACCCGAGTTCGATCCCCGATACCAAAAAAAAAAAAAAAAAGTATTAATGTAACAAAGAAAAGCATAGTTTGTATAGGATGTCAGAATAGGCACAGCAATTAAGTCTGGCTTGACACAAATGTAGCTATTTTCCCAGGGAGATTTAAAAAGCTTAAATTAACCCAAGATGGAAGTTATAACCTATGACTGTCAGTTCAATTTGTTCTAAATACCAAATATTTCCAAGTTCCATTTCTTTCTAATTCAGAAATAACTTTTTCATTAGCTGGGAAGATCCAAATGCCTGAATTAATAATGCCTTGTTTGGGGGTTTTTCGGTTAGTTTTTTGAGTCAGGGTCTCCCTATGTAGCCCAGGCTGTCCTTGAACTTCTGGTGATCCTCCTGCTTCAGCCTCCCAAATGCTGGGATTACAAGCATGCACCACCACACCCAATTTAGAATGCTATTATTCCTTAACCCAATAATAGGCTTGCTATAACCTAAATCTTCCAGGATAAAAAAGTTTTTTTCCTGATGTTACACCCACATCTACTTACTCGTAAATGGCAAACACCTTGATGCCCAACACCATGTTATCATAAATAACAATGCACAGAACAGATTGTCCTCTTATTGGAGAGAAACGCCATACTAAGCCCATATGAACTTTGTTGCTTCTGTGAATAATCCAATTGTTTTACTGTTTTCTTTGCAAGAGCATTGGAGAGCCAAGGCCAAATCTGTAATTAAATCTCATCTCCTAGAAAGGACTTCCATACTCTTACTTTTCTGTCTTCCACTTTGCTCATTTACTTATACATACTTTGCATTTCTCATATAAGAGAAACCATGCAATAGTTAAGCTTTTGTATCTAACTCATTTCACTTAACAATATGTACTCGTTGCATCTACTTACCTATAAGAACCAAGCTCTTTATTACTAAATTGTGATCTGCAATTATATTTTTATCTCCTTACCACTCTCCCCTCATTAGCTGAGGTACAATTTATATGTGACAGAATCTGTCCAGCACTCCACAAAATCAAAAGTGAAAAATGACTTTTTTGGAAATTCCTGCTCAGTAATTCCAAAACCGATGTCAAATAAAACATAAACTTGAACCAAAATATCATGTAACATTTAATAATTGCAAATATATTTATTACAATTTACAGATTAGTTACATTATATACACAAATAGAATTTTAGCTATAAAATCCCAACAAACTGGTTTGAAGAGGCCAATTTAAAGTTTCTAGTCCCCTAACTTTACCTTCTTTAAATTATAAAAAATAAAATCTGATAGTTTTGATTTCAAGTTACAGAGGAGGAGGCGTCATCACATTTCATCACTCGGAAATGCGATTCCACCTGTCTGCACACTCCCCTTTCCCACGCTACACTGACAGGACAGCACCATTACAAGACTACACTGTGTAAAGTGTTTACTTAAAACCTCCCAGGATCTGCCTTTAAAGATTGGCAGGGGCTGCAGGCTAAGGGTAGGTGTCACTTGGACATTCACAGTCGGGATGACAGCGACATCAACCTTTCTTCCCTCCAGACCAATTGTAAGAAACCCCTGTCCTCCTCATGAGTCTGATCGCTTCCACAGCAGGGTGATTCAGGGGAGAATTCCTAAGGAAGATTTTACTCATTAGGTTGTGAGGTCCCAAGGGAACAATTTTCCCAAGTCCAATGACTATGAAGATGTTCCACTATTTTCCAATATGCAGAAGTGCTGGATTTCAGAAACACAAAACACAAGCCAAGTCTCTGAAACAAAACAGTATGCTTCCGGCTAGCTTGAAAAGAATGCATCTGAACAGTCGGTCCCACAGCTTTCTGCAAGGCAAATGGTGCTGCTTTCCAACAGATACAGCTGGAGGTGGGAGCCAGACTGTTTCCACGGTATAAAACAACACTCTGGAAGCGCAGTCTCTTAAGAGGCCTGAAGTGGAGGTGGACAAAACACAAAATAAAGGCTCTGCAAAAATCTGACCAATTTGTTACGGTGCTGCACTCTTAGTGTGTGTAGCAATGAATGCACCCAACACTGGAGGTGGCTCTTAGAGCAGACCAGGTAAGATAAAGACCAGGTAGATTATAAACTGAGGTAGTAACCTGCCAGCACATCTGATGAAACCTGCATCCTCACACTGACCTAAGTTCAAAGCTAAGTGGTCATGTACGCTACGCTTTCCACTGCCTGTGGCAAGAGGCACAGGGAGGAAAAACAGACCATTCAAGGGATGGCTGACATTTCCTCGACCTGACAGTTACACGTCATGTGAAGTCTAACTATGCAAACCAAGCACAACCAGTCAATGCTAAGACTTCAAGACATCAAGACTTTCTAGTTGTTAAATCTGCAGATTTCCCTTTCCTGAAAGTATTAACCTTGTCCTTCCTGCTCTCATTGTTAAAATAGAGCGCAATAAACCTGGACATTGACTGTAATTAGTATTTTACACTTCAAACTTGAAAACCCAGAACTGCCCACTTCCAAGTTGACAGTGTCACCCTGACAGGTTTTAAAAGTGACAGTGCTGAGGCACATTAATAACACTGGTTTTCTGTTGTGCATATACAACAAAACCAAACTACTCTGGCGTGTCTCCTATCTTCCTCTTAGGAAAGTTCTAGGCTTTTCAGTTTAAAAAACAAATGCCTATGATACAATTATTACTTTTTCTAGAGTGTTTTAAAATTTCTGCCCATTGAGAGATACAAAAAGCGACATTCACTCAGGAACTACAATGGTATGTTCAGAACCCTCTCCAAAGCAGTCTCCACAGAAATCAAATATATTTGATATTTAAAATTTGGCAGAAAGATGCAGCCTCCCTAAACTCCCAGAAAGCACTGTACATGTGTATGTCGTGACAGTCCTTGGAAATCTAAGTACAACTTAATGTAGAAAAAGAAATTCACCATACACTTTCAACAAAAATCTTAAGAAGTGACACAATATACTTTAAGTTGGCAACATATACACGACTATATTTTTAACTTAAAGGTAGACAGGCTAAATCACTGAAATAAAAAAAAAAAATACAGAAAAACAAAAGCTCACTAATCGCAGAATATTGGGGGGGCAAAATTTTTACACATATATACATAATTTAAATTGTAACTGAAAATGGGCCTTAAGCCCTATAAATATTGTTCCCAAGAAAACAAGTTTTGAAAGTGCAAAATTAACAACTCAAAAGGTCCCCTTCTCATCTCAAGCAAAGAAAGGACATTGAAAAACACATCTAACTAAATCAAAAAAGATTAAAAGTCACATCCTTCATTGTCAGGGCTGGCTTCAAACCTGTAGTTTCTATGTGGGATATGTTACCAAAAAAATACTAAACTAGATAGATCATTGGATTCAGGCTAAATTTCCTCTAAAAAACAAAAGTCAAAGGACAGCTGCCAATATTCATTTTTAAAAGAAACCTCTCAAGAAAGAGGTAATGTATGGTAGGACGACAGGCTGTCAATTCAACATTGCTGGAAAACATTTAAGTTCTTTGAAGCATGTTTCCTGGAGTCTATTAAACATTCTTTCTCTGTGCTCAAATGTCAAGCAATAGCCAATAGCATCTTCTGTTTCTTGAATTCGTTTCCGGAACCTGCATGCATCCCTTGCAAATTCTTCCCATGGTCCTTTGCGATCCTCATCACCACTTACATAATACTCAGTAACTTCTTCAAGGAAGGTTACCTATAAAGACAAAAACTAATTTTAATAACTCTCTAAGATCTTACAATTACCACTGAGGTGAACACCCCTTTATCCTACTAATTCTTTTTAAACACCAAATATCTTACAAGAACCTTTGTTCCCAACTATATCTGAAATTTTAAAAAAGGATCTAAGCAGATAGTAATTGGATAAAACAGTGAACAATTGCCCTGAATTTACATATATCTTTATCTTTCATATATCTACAAATACACAAGTCTTCCCAACTCCAGTCCTTGCTTTTTAGTGTTAACATGAATCCAGATAGGGAACTAAAATTTTCTTACTGTTAATACCTGCTATGCTTTAATCCTTAGGGAAATATAGTTCTATAATATTTCCCCCCAAAATGACAAAGTATTTCAGAAAATAACCACTATATCTTTGAAAGTCAATGTTTTTGTCATAGTCAAAGCCTTAACAATATTATTTCTACTCTTCCTTTCCCTTTAAAAAAAACTGTACTTTTTGAGCCGGGGATTTAGTTCAGTGGTTCCACTGCCTGCTTTGCAAGCGCAAGGTCCCAAGTTCAATCCCCGGTACCAAAAAAACCCCCTACTTTTCAGTGCTTTCCAATTTTTGAGTCATTGATTTTTACATTATTACTTTTGGAATGAGAATATAACAGAAAGTTACTTCATAAAGTAAAGTATCTTTAAGGATGTGTTACAAGAGGCCTCGCAGTTAAAATTTAAAAGCTTTGTATTCAATATGCTATCACTATACAGATAGGTTGGGTATCCCTTACCTGAAATACTTGGGACGAGATTTCAAAGTGTTTTGGAGTTTGGCGTATTTGCATGGACTTCATTGGCTGAGCATCCTTAATCTGAAAATCTGAAATCCAAAAATGCTCCAAAAATCCAAACATTTTTGAGCATCATATTAGCACTCAGAAAGTTCAGATTCTGAATTTTCTATTAGGGAGGCTCAACCTGTACATGAAATTGTGAATATTATACAAGATGACATGTAATGAGTAACAATCCCTACTTGTTACTAGTAGCTTCTACTTAATCCTTACTTTTTTTTTTTGGTACCGGGGATAGAACTTGGGACCTTGAGCTTGCCAGGCAGGGGCGGTGCCACTGAGCTAAATCCCTGGCCCCTACTTAATTTTTAATAAAGATGATATCAAACTAAGCTATCAAACTTGGAAAGTATAGAATTGCTTTAAACTGTGTTTAACAGTTACATCAGCTAACCCCACTGAGACCCTACTACTTTCATTCCCTTTACATCAGGCCAAGGAATACCCCTGAGGACAATTAATAGGATGTAACACCTTACAAGATATTGCATTCTAGTCCTTACTCATTCATTGTGTCACTAAAATAAATAATAACACTTATATTGTGTTCACCATATGCCAGGCTCTTTTCAAAGAGGTTTACAATTTTTATCTCATTTAATCCTCACATCAAATCCGTGAGGTGTAGACAGAAGCACATCAGTTAGATGTGTCCAAAATCACACAACACCTAAGTGATATAATCAGGATTCAAACACTGAGTCTGTCTGGCTCTACAATCTGTACTGTTTTGCCAGGATATGAAGTATTTTAAACTCCTAGATCTGAAGGCCTCACTCTAAGAATTAGGCACTACCCATTTTCCCACAAACCTAAAGAATGGCAGGTAATTAAAGCCTGTCAAATAATTTAGGCATACATCATCATCTTTTCTAAATTTTGCTTTAGTTCAATCAATAGTCTCACATCCACTTCACTCATTTCATTGTAGTCAATGAGCTAAAATGACACATGACACAGGCCTGAGCCATTCCAACACAAGGCAATGAATCAGGAGTTTTATCTACTCATCTCATTTAAATCTCATTTGCATTAATTGCAAATTAAATTGCAGTAACTTGGGGCTGAGGATGCAGCTCAGTGGTAGAATCAGTGCCACACACACACACACACACACACACACCCCCCCCACGATAAATCATACAATACTATTCTCATCAGATAAGTGACTGTATAAAGGCCAGGAGTCAAGCAACTTCTTAGGTCTAGCGGCCTCCCCAGTCTCTGCTCTAACCACGCAGCAGTACAAAGCACAGGTCTCCAGATGCCAAGTGCTCATCCACTGGCCCCTTTGGTTCTCACCTACGCACTCAAGTAGGTCATTTTGTCAGGGGCCCCCAAAAAGGACAAAGTTATTTCATCTTATCATCTATGAAGTGTGAACTAAAATTTAATTTTAACATGACAGATTAAGACGTATGTCTTATTACCACCACTGAAAAAAGATTTTCTACCCCAGGAGTACTTCCAAAGTATCAAACTGGTCATTTGAAGCCAAAAGATTTATGGTACAGTGAACTTTAATCTCCCTCAGGCTGCAGAATCTGAGATCAGTAATAACTCACCCACTGCTTTGCCTTTCCAAACGAAGGTACAGAAAACTAAAGAAACTTCCTGAACAAAACTTAGACCCTCTTGTGTTTGGGGGGTTTTCCAATTAATAACGTCAGCTGTGTGAAGACTAATTTAAAAGACTTCCACAGTAAGGTGAAGCTGACAATATGAGAGAGTAAAACACTCCACGAGGATTTAAGATTAGTTTGGGAAGAGGAAGCAACTACTCAGGATAAACCAAATAAGTGACCACCATTCTTTACTTCCATTATTAACCTGTAACTGTCCACTGTAACTAGTATTTCATTCTTTAAAAAAAGGAAACACAATTTTCTGTACTGTTTTTAACTATCAAACAAACCAAGTAAGGTCAAAAAGTTTGATACGTCGCAAACAACCATATAAACAGTAAACAACTTGTATTTGCTATTAAAAGCTCTTTGGGTTAGAGGACACGAATAAAGACAACGTTATCAAGCAAATAAAAGATCGAGTATTTGCAAACAAATAAATAACCATTTAAAACTTTTCGGCTATAGCAGACCCTTCTTAAGCCCTAGAAAAATTAAGTCACAAATACACAAGGTTTAATATTTTTGTTTTCTGAAAAAAAAGAGTAGAGATGTTGAAACAGCTCAGAGCCACCAACCCAAGTGCAAATGGCACTTTCCTGCTAAGATCTGGCCTTTTATACTGGCATCTTCCTTTTGAACAGGAACAGTTCCCTACACTGAAGGGAGGAAGAGGAAAGATCATTTGAATAGTTCTCAATCCACACACCCTAGAAGCCTTCCTCAAAAATATGACAACCAGGTCTCCAACAGAGTCGTGCTGCTATATCTAACCCTACCAACACAGAACAAATTAGCAGACACGTTGAAAGAAACCAACCTTTTTTCCTTTGATAGGCGTGTGCTTTTCCACAGAGACAATCTCCTGCTGTAACAAGTCTGTACTTTCACCTCCTTGGTGCCCTAACAGTGGCACTTTATAAGAAAGGAAGCTGTGACACTCAGAAATGGCCACCAAGGACTCAGCTGGTTTTTTTGAGTCAAGACTGTCTTTCAAATCTTTTCCTGATGTTTGAAAGGGAGCCGTAAAATTTAAAAGGTTGTACGGATCATCAGAATTAGAGAAAGAGTTCCACAGCTTGAGATTCTCTGCCTCATCAGCACTGGATTCCCAGTTACCTTCCTCCTCAGAATCCCAGTCAGGGGTCTGAGGAAAGATTCCAGCCTGGGGAGAATTCTCTAGATCAGACTTGTCAGACAAATCCTTGCCTGCATCAGAAGGTTCTCCAGGAACAATTCTGGGAGCAGTCTGAATTGCTGCTGTGAAGTTTTGGGGATTATAAGGATCTACACTGTGGAAAGAATTCCAAAGGTGAAGTCCTTCCTCGTCTCGTTCAGGGTCTGATTCTGACAGTGAGCCCTCACTATCAAAACCGTCATCCTCAGCTTCCTCGTCCCAACCTTCACCTTCAGAATCAGAACTTGACTCCAGCTCACTGGATGCACCTCCCAAAATGAAATCTATTAATTTGTTAGCACAAGCCGGTCTGGCAGCAAGGGGAAGGTCATCTTCTATGTCAGAGGAGTCGACCACACTGGCTCCGTCCTCCCCAGGTTCTTCCTCCACAGGTACCTCAACAGATGGCAAGCTTCCCGAAGGGCCTTGTCTTTCCAGGGCAAGCGGGACCTCCTCCGTCAATATTTTTTCCTCCCCGGGCTCCTGGTTGTTTCCAGAGGCTGCTCCAGCCAGGGGAACAGATTGTGTTGGAGTACCTGGGCGGTGTTTCACATCCACCCGGAGAAGACAGTGCTCCTCCTCCAGGCTGTGGTAGCCATTGTCTTGGTCCGGCGTGGGTAATTCTTGCCCCTTGCCAGTCTGCTGAAGGAATTCCAGCCGTTTCATACGAACATGGTGGATTTCGGGGAGGCCTTCCCTGGAAAGAGGTGGATATCCCTGCCACGAGGGCGCAGAGATTTCTGCAGACAGAGGCTCTGGATGACAGCAGTCCTTAGAAAGGCAGCTGCTCTCTGGGGTTAGGGTCTGGAAACCAACTAGCTCGCTCCCTTCAGTGCCATCCTGACAGCTGAGCTCTAGCCCCCCAAGGCAATCCAGGTGGGAGGGGTGCAGCAAATAGGAGACTACACTGAAACTGCCTAAGCGCTGAACGTTTAGGGGGCCAGAGGGAGAAGAGCCAACTTCTCCGTCACTGAACAGACGGGCTTGAAGGCCACTGGGCGACAGCTCCACGCTCCACAGCTGCTCCTCTAGGAAAAAAGCATGGGCTGAGGGGTCCAAAGCCCTTCTCTTGGCTTTGAGCCCCAACCCTAGGTCAGAGGACGCACACTGCCAGGGGATCCCCTCCTCTAGCCAATCAAAGGGGCTGGTGACTGAGCCGTCTGAAAGGTCCAGTCGCAACAAACTCTCGGACTTTTTCTGCACAGTGGGGGCGGCTACTTCCTCTCGGCCCCTCAAGGCTCTCAGGATGCTGTAGCCGCCAACGAAATCGAGCCAACTGGTCGGAATCAAGCCACCGAAAAGCTGGCCCCACATCAGCAGCTTCTGGAGCAAGCTGGGGAGCGGGGCGAGGAGCTGGGAAAGCAACTTGGTCCAGGAGTTGGTCCGAGCCCCAGGCTGGGCAGAAGCAAGCCGTGTGGGGCCCCCACTGTTCTCCGGGACAGGAGGCGTCGGGAACTGGGAGGCACCCGCTCGCGATCGCCCAGGGAAGAAAAAAGGCGGCCGGAACCAGGGGCCCGCCCGAGGGGCGGCGCCTTGCCGAGAGCCCTGCGTCCACGGCTCCATCTCCGGCTTCTCAGCAGTCTCTCGGGCTGGTCTGACGGCACTCGGAGAGGGAGGCCTACACAGTCTTGGCCTTGCCCGGCGGCGGAGTCGGTGTTCCAGGAAGGTCCCTGCGCCTGCAGGACAGCCACACACGGCAGCAGCGTCGGCAGTGAGCGGCAGACCACAAAATCCAGAGGTTAGCACAGGAGGCGGCGGCGGAGGTGAGAGCCATCCTGGCAGAGGAGGAGGCGTCCTAGTCCGCGCGAGACTTCTCCAGCATTTACAGGAGCCCTCCCGCGGCGGCCACTTTCCCAGATACCGAGCGTTATAAGGCCCGGAACAGCGCGGGCAGGGAAGGCTGGGTAGACGGGAGGGTGAGGGTGGAAGCGAAGTCCAAAATGGCCGCAGAGCAGACGCTGAGGCTGGACGGCTCTAGAGCTACCGGATGAGACGAAGGACGGCGGGAGTCTACGCCACCAACCTGGCGCAGCCCAACATATTTTGCATAGCCCCAGGGGCGGGTCTTTGCTCACACTTCCGCGTGGCCGCTGATTGGTTTGCCAGATGTCCCTGTCGGCTTCCTTACTCTCGGTGGAGCCGCTCTCAGGCTGAAGGTTGCATCAGCCTGGCCTAGGCTGTGCGCATGCGCGAGAGCGTGGTCTCCTGGGAGACCCCACCGTCCGCCCTCTGGGTTAAAGGGCCTGGAGCGGTGGGAGGATCTCAAGTAACGGAGTTTCTCGCGAGCCCTTTTCGGGGCGGGTACGCGAGGAAGTGTGTACGCTGATTTTAGGTTTATATATCGACGTTGCAGTAGTGTTGAGTGCTACGTAGACCGTCGAGCGGAGATCTTTAATGTACGAGTTGGGTGATGCTGTCTGGTATTAAAACAAGAATCACCTGAAGTGAAAAGACAGAAAAACTCAAATGAGAAATGAATTAGGCGTTCCTGTGGCCTCCGCCCTAGGATTTCTAAATTACTATTTAGTGTTGTCTGGGATCCAGGTTTGAGGTCTTTGGGCGATCAACTGACATGTACCCCACACAAATGAAAACCCCGGTGATGTCTCCTTAATAATACTATAGTTTTATTGGGGGGCGAGCTCAAGTCACAGAAGGTTGAATCCCCCAAACTGCTTTCGAGCAGGCAACACGTTCAACTCATATTTACTTTCTGAGCAACCAGAATCACAGGGAAGCACAGGTGACCGTTATCCTTTGAAAAAAAGTGTCTGGCAATTTCAGGTGCTGTGTTTGATTCTTGTGAGTTTGGTATTCATTTGCGTATTTCTGCTAAAACGCTTTAATCGATAGCTCCGAAGTCAAATGACAAGGACAGAAGGAGAGTAGTAACTAATGAGAACGAGGAACACAGAAAGATCTGAGGGCAGGGGGGAAGCAGCTGCTCAGAAATACGTACTTTCTCAATCCTAAAACCTTTAGAAAAATATATTAATAGTAGTTTTCATAGTAAAAGATTCATTCAAGTATGCAAATTAATTACTGGAAGCCATAGTTCCTTTTTTTGTTTTTTGGGGGGTTTTGTGTGTGTGTGTGTGTGTGTGTGTGTGTGTGTGTGTGTGTGTGTGAAACAGGGTCTCGCTGTGCAGTTCAGGCTGGCCTGGAACACTCGGTGATCCTTCTGCCTCAGCCTCCCGAGTGCTGGGATTACAGGCCAGGCCACCACACCCAGCGCGTAGTTCCTTTCATTGTAAAGTGGGGCTAATACTGCAATTCCTCTTTCCCTGGGTTGGGGAGAACTAGGCTCCGAACGCAGTGCCAGGCCCAGATAGCACAGGGGCGTAAACATGAGCTGTTATTAGCCGTGCTGTTCTGCTTCAGTCCTCCCCGCTTCCCACAGCTGCAGAATAAAGGCTCATTCAGCCTGACCTCCCACCATGCTCTTCCAGCTTCTTCCCCCGCTTCGCTGCTTCTCTTCGTGCACGTTACACTGGAGAGCACTGGCCTCACTGGCCCTGGTCTCATACCATTCCTCATGCTGGCGCTTGGCCAGGAAGCTCCCCACTTTTGAGTTACTGACATATTCGTGCTTTAGGATCCAACTCACAGGTTACTGTAGGCTTGAAACCTGTGCTGCCCTTCCCAGTCAGAATTCTCTGAGCTCTCCTAGCACTTTATTATGTATCCCTGAAAATGTTCACTCCTGCTGCTCTCTGAGCTCCTTGAGGGCTGTATCCCTTTTTTCTTTTTTTTTTGGTACCGGGGCTCGAACTCGGGACCTTGTGCTTGCAAAGCAGGTGGTGGTGAAACTACTGAGCTAAATCCTGGCCCTAGAGGGCTGGCTGTATCCTAATACCTAGCACAGCAGTTTAGGCATCCTCAAGGCTCTTTTTTGTTTTTTTGAGACAGAGTCTCGTTATGTTGTCCAGGCTGGCCTTGAACTCACTCTGTAGCCCAGACTAGCCTTGAACTCATGGGAAATCCTCCTGCCTCAGCCTCCTGTGTGCTGGAATTACAAGTTATGCACCACCACACCCAGCTCTGAGGTTTCTCTTTTTTTAAACTAAATACATTTTAATAGAAAACAAAATACAAAGTAACTTTTCAGAAAACAAATATTTAATCCTTTCCCCATACATTAGAACTTGCTTTATCCTCAGGGCACAGTTTGACATGTGCATGTGCACTCAGGATTCACCACATGATGCGCTCACCACAGGAGAGACAGCGGAAATGCTAATGAGGTTTCTCTTTTGAAATCATTTCACAGGGTCCTTACAGTAAAAGACATTTTCATCAAAGTTCTAAACTTTCACACCACCACCACCACCACCACCATGCATGCTAGACAAATGCTCTACCACTGAGCTGCATCTCCAACCCTTTTCATTTTGTTTTGAAACAAACTCACTAAATTGTCCAGGCTGGCTCAAATTTGCAGTCCTGCCATGCCTGGGATTACAGGCATGCACCGTCATGTTGGGCTTGTTTCGTCTCCACATTCGTTTTCTCATGGGTGTGTAATGAAGTCTACAGGATACTTGGTGCATATGATCTGGCAACAGATTGAATGTAAAAGCAGCTAGAGATGAGATTCCCATTATTTTAATATAAAATAAAGCCACACACTAAAGACGTTTGGGATTTTTTTTTTTTTCTTTTTGAGACAAGTTCTCAGTTTGTAGTACAGGCTGGCCTTGGACTCACAGTGATCCTCCTCCTGCCTCAGCCTCCTGAGTGCTGGAATTACAGACATGTGCCATCATACCCAGCTACATTTTTTAAATAAATGAAAAATTATTTTTCAAAACAGGAAAAGTTTATCAAGAGTATCAGGTGTAGTGGCAGTGCTGGGATTATCTCTATCGGGTGTAGTGGTAGTACTGGGATTATCTGTACTGTAATCCCAGCACTCAGGAGGCTGAGGCAGGAGGATCACTAAATTCAAGGCCAGCCTGAACTACATAGAGAGACCCTGTCTCAGAAAAACAAAAAACAGAAAAAGTTACTTATGTTAATATATAAAGGCCCCTGAGGAATTAAGCTCAGTGGTTCTGCTGCCTGCCTGGCAAGCCCAAGGTCCTGCGTTCCATCCCTGGTACAAAAAAAAAAAGGCCCTATTATTTTTAAGTGAATATTTTTAAATTCCTTAGCTTTCAGCTCTAAAATAGTAAACATCAAGAGATATAATCTGCAAAAACAGCCAGGTGTGGTGGCACAATCTCAGCACTCGGGAGGCTGAGACAGTAGGACCACTGCAAGTTCGAGGCCAGCTTGGGCTACATAGTGAAACCCTGTCTCAAAAAACAAAACAAAAGGGCCAGGGATTTAGCTCAGTGGTTCCAGCGCCTTCCTCGAATGGGCAAGGGCCCGAGTTCAATCCCTGGTACCCCAAAAAACAACAGAATCTGCAAAAACAAAAGTGGGAGGGGGTATGTCTTCAATTTTTAAGTGTGTAGAGGGATCTTAAGACCAAAAAAAAAAAAAAATTGACTGACCTAGTAGGTTGACTGACATAAAATAGGTTCCCAGTAATTTGTTGGCCAGGCACATGCCTGTAATCCCAGCTGCTCTGGAGGCTGAGGCAGAAGGACTGAAAATTTGAGGCCAGCCCACACAATCTAGCTAGATCCTGTCTCAAAAAATAAAAGGACTAGGAATGTAGCTCAATGATAGAGTGCTTGCCTAGCATGTGTGAGGCCCTGGGTTCAATACCCCATATCAGATAACAACAACAACAACAACAACAATTGTTGAATGAATGAAAGAGTAATACTTGAAAATAACAGCAGCTTCCTTATAGCAAAGCCTCTTGCATTCCACTCAACTTACTCACTGAATGACGCCACATGCCCCTAAAAGCAATGTCTTAAACCTTTCTTGGATGGGCTTCTCCATCCCCATCTAGTCATTAGATATAACTTTTACTCTCCCTTACCTTAGAAGTTGTTTTGGAGTTTTTCTGTTGTTGTTCTTTGGGTTTTTTTTGGTTCTGGGGATTGAACTCAGGACCTTTCGCTTTCGAGGCAGGCTCGGTGCCACTGAGCTAAATCCCCGGCCCAGAAGTTGTTTTAGGTGCCAGGAGCGGTGGTGCACACTTGTAATCCCAGCACTCGGGAGGCTGAGGCAGGAGGATCACTGTGAGTTCAAGGCCAGCGAGACCCTCTTTAGAAAAAGTTGTTCTATGGGGAAAACAACGAAGTATTTTCAGCTCTGAGAATTTGTGATGTTGCTTGTCTGTCTCACTCACAACCCAGCCTGCTTCAGCGAGGAGGGGAGGGGAGCTCTGCACACGGGGCTAACAATTCATTGCCATGGCTGTGTGCAAACTGCTGAAGACAGGGAGTCCTTGGACTGGCGATCTGACTGGCAGTTTGGCAGCAGATAATTAAAACCTCAGTTCATTGTGTTTATTGGAAAAGATTTTGCCAGGCCTGAGGAAAAAGTACATAGCTTTGACTATTTTCCAGAGTTGGCACTGCTTCTAAAATCTGATCGCCGAGTATCCAGCCCTCTGCCACCTCCTACCTTTCCGGCTGGGCTCACTGCCCGAGGTCCCCATTCAGCTCCTTCAGCACTCAGAGACCACAAACCATGGCCGAGACCACTCTTTTGTGACCCAGCACCTCCTCATTTCCTGTCTTGATCCGTTGTTAAAATCACCCCCTTACAGAGACCCTTTTCTCTCTTGCCCCGCTCTAACATCCTTCTCTGGCCCTATTCCAGCCCTAGTTAAACAGAACTACCCACGCATTTGGCGCCTGTGTGACCACTGACCTGGTCAAGGCCAGGTAGTTCCCGGAGCTCTGCTGCTCCCCACTTGGGCTACTTCACAGCGCCTCCTCCTCCAGATTCCCAGCCTCCCCCGTAAAACACATTCTCAGTTTAGGCTCCCACCTCTGACTTCATCCAGGAAACAGAGCCAAACTTACATGGCTCATCTTTCCCACACCAGAGCCACCTGCGGCTCAAGCCACAACTCCGCCTTCAGTCTCCCTACAAGCCACGGGCCCCCTGGAACCCAGCCCTTCCTTTCTAAATCCCACCTCTGTCATCCCTTCTCTTCCATAGCACACAAGTTAGTTCATTTACACTCATGTAGTTTAATATTGCCTATCTTAAAAATCTCTCCAAGTTTCATGCCCCTCCAAATTCCTGCACCACAACAGCTGAATTTCTCGAGAGCTGCGTGTGCTCCTGGTCTCCATTCTCTCCTGTTTTCTCTCCAACCTACCCAAGGTGGCTTTCACTCCCACCGCTCGTGCACACAGGCCTTGTCATGGCCACCAAGAAGTTTTGCTGTCTCCACCCTCTCCAGGCTGTTAGGGGCTGAGTTGTGCTCCCCAAGAGATGCTGAAAACCAAGCTCACAGGACTTGTGAGTGTGACCTGATGTGGAAATACCGCGGATTCTTCACAGACATCCAAGATGAGGTCATTAGGACATGCCCTAGTCCATTGCGACCGTGTCCTTGTAAGAAGTAGAAACTAGACACGTGAGCACACACGGGGGGAATCCACCTGGACACAAAGGCCGAGGTCAGGGGCCATGTCTGTGAGCCAGAGCAGCAAAGGTTGACAGCAAATACCCAGGAACTAGCAGAGGCCTGTAACAGAATCTCGACTTCTCAGCCCCAGGAGCATCCCCTTCTCCTGTCCTTGCAGGGGACCATTCCCAGGGCCACCTGCCTGCTGGGCAAATGCTTGACCTCTGAGGTAAACTCCTGTCCCTCCCTATGCAGTACCCGGCCTTGAACCCCAGGCCTCACACATGCCAGGCATGCGCTCTCACACTGAGTACATACCTAGCCCCAGAATGATCCTTTAAAACAAACTGGATTACCATCATGCCTTTCCCCAAATCCCCTGGTGAGCTGGGCACCATGGTGCAAGCCTCGATCCCAGCCCTGGGCCAGGAGCATTGCAAATTGCAGGCCAGCCTGGGCCACACAGGTACCTGTCTGAAAAACCAAGCCAAAACAACCCCTGCAATAGCATCTCCACCACACTGAATAAAATCAGGAGTTTTGATTGGCTTATTTTATTGGTTTTTTGGGAGGGATTTTCTGAGTGAGGGTTTCACTATGTAATTCAGGCTGGCCTTGAACTTACTGTGTAGCCCAGGCTGGCCTGAAACCTGCAGAAATCCTCCTTCCTCAGCCTTCTGAGTACTGGGATTATAGACTTGTGCCACCATGCCCCGCTCTGACTTTATTTATTTATTTATTTTTGAGACAGGGACTTGCTATGTAGTTCAGACTAGCCTTGAACTCACTATTAGTCCAGGTTGGCCTTGAACTTGTGGCAATCGTCCTGCCTCAGCCTCCCAAGGGCTGGGCACCACCACAGCTGGCTCTGATTGATGTTAAAACTCAGTTCAAATCTCCTCTGTGAAGCTACTCCACCCATCCCATCCCTCTCCCTGTCCGCCCTGTCTATGGCAGACTGTACTGTAATTGCAGCTGTCCCTCAGTATTGGGATATTGGTCCCAGGATCCTCTGCAGGTACCAAAATCCACAAATGCTCAAATCCCTCCTCTAAAATGGTACAGTATTTGCATATAACCCACATGCATCCTCCTGTATGCTTAGATCATCTCTTATTACTTATAATGCTTATTATTTTTGTTTTTTTGTGTGGTTTTTTTTGGTACCAGGGATCGAACTCGGGTCCTTGCGCTTGCACAGCAGGCAGCGTTTAATGCTTATTATAAATGCATATAAACAGTTGTCATGCTGTATACTTTAAGGAATGACAAGAAGGGGGAAGTCTACATATTCAGTGCGATTTAAAAAATTCTTTTGGGAAATATTTTCCCTTGGCTGAATCTGTGGAATGTGTAACCCGTGAATACGGAGGGAAGACTTTGTTTCCACGGTGCCTGCCCTGCTGTCCTGAGCTCCCTGACAATAGGACCCACACCTTTGTCTGGGCAGCCGCAGTGCTTGACACCCAGGAGAACACAAGTGTGGTTTGTTGAGCTGATCCAACCCCTCAGATAAGTCCACCCCCCAGATCACCTTTCCACTTCAAATACTGCCTCATTTGAGGGGGGGGTACCGGGGATCGAACTCAGGACCTTGCGTTTGCAAGGCAGGTGGCAGCACCACTGAGCTAAATCCCCGGCCCTACTGCCTCATTTTTGACCTTTCAAATCCTGTATATTCTCCCATACACACATCCCAGCAAGTTGGGTAGCCTCATTTTTGCTACTTCTTCGAACTTTGAAAACCTGGCCTTCTGGGCTTCTTGTGTTTCTCCTCTCCTGGGCCCCTCTCTCTCTCAATCCCCAGATCTCATTCCCCTCCCTCTGGAGGTTCAGATTTCTACCCCATTTGGCCAAGACAGATCCTTAACTAAGACTCTTGCCAGACTCCAGTTCTGACTTTTAAAAGGTCCTAAGGGACTTGGCCAGGATGGCAGCGACACTTCAAACCCACCAAGAAATGCAGCCATTGATACTTCCTACTTATTCTCTGAAAATCCCTTGGATTCCCACCAACCTCCCCGCATGAAATATGACTCCTAACTGCCCAGGTTTTTGAACTTGCAGGTAAAATGCTTGAATAAGGGTCACTTCACCTCCATCCTCCATTTTGGGGTTCACTTCTGGGCTACAGTTCTAACAGCTTGGTAGTTGTCAGGTGCCTCAAGAGGTTAAGATTCTCTTATAAAATGGAGTTGGGGGCCGGGGATTTAGCTCAGTGGTTTCGCCACCTGCTCTGCAAGCACAAGGACCTAAGTTTGATCCCCGGTACCAAAATAAAAATAAAATAAAATGGGGTTGGTTAAATATCACCAGACAGGGACCAAGGATTTAGCTCAGTGGTACCTCTCCGGTACCAAAAAAAAAAAAAAAAAAAATCACCAGACAGAAAATGTAAATGCAGAGCACTGTCTCATTCCTTTATTTAGTACTGGGGATTAAACCCAGAGCCTTCCACATACCAGGCAAGCACTCTACCACGGAGCTACACTCCCAGCCCTTTCTCAATATTATTTTGAGATAGGGTCTTGCTAAATTCCCCAGGCTGGCCTTGAACTCGCCATCCTCCTGCCTCAGCCTCCCACGTAGCTGGGATCACAGGCGTGATCCTTCCACACCATTACATCCAGCTATTTTAACATTTTTGCAACCTGCCACCAGATGCCTGGTACAAGACCACAGTACACAATTCTAGAAGTTTCCTCTATTCTCTGTGAAAGGCGGCACACCTCTGGGTAATGTTAGTTCATACAGTAAATGTTTGTGGAATGAATAAGCCATATCAACTTGCCAACAAATAATTGTAATGGGGCAAAATGGCATGTATGTGAAAGCACTTTGAAAACTATCAATATGGTACCACCTTAAGGGCCTGTATTACACGTTGCCTAGGAGGACTAGCATAAGGTTTGGAGTCAAATGAACCTGGGTTCAAACTCCAGTTTCAAGACTGGCTTTGTGCCAGGGGCAAGTTGCTTAATCTCTCTCAGCCTCAATTTCTTATCTGAAAAACAGTTAACCATAACCACCTCGTGAAGTTGTGGCCTGGCTTCATTCAGCTGACAAATGCAAAAATGCCTACTGCAGGGGCAACCCACTTTCCGGTCCCCCTTCTGTCTCTTAGAAGTCTTTCGATAAATTTTTTTTTGTTTTTTGTTTTTTGGTACCGGGGATCGAACTCGGGTCCTTGCGCTTGCGCAGCAGGCGGCAAAACCACTGAGCTAAATCTCTGGCTCTCTCAATAAATTTTTCCTACTCTTAACCTCCGTTGTTCCTAGAATTTATTCTTCGATTTTAGAGAACAGGAACTCGCATTTCAGATACCTAGCAGGTTTGGGAGTTACATCTCATCCCCCCCCATATCATTTTGGAGGTCTTGCACCGAGATTACTGGTCGGAGAGTACCTACTGTAGTAAGGATATGAGTTCCCTGAGGAAGATAGATTGCTCGCTGGTAAAGGAGGCTGGCAAACCAAGTAGTCACACAAATGGAACCAGTGACAAAAGTGCTAGACTTCTTTTACTGGGATCCACCAGATGGACCTTGTAAACAGCTCATAACTGTTAAACTACGCAATACGACTTCTATGTTGGATTCTGAAGTCCCCCAGACCTTCTCTTTATCCACTTTGTGGGAGGCTGTTACTCCTCCTGGTGGAAACACTTGTTGGCTATATTCATTGTAATCCTGCTGACCTTATAATTTGGCCCAGGTATTCTTAACTGTTTCTTTGGCTTTGTCTCCTGCAGACCCCAAGATAACAGCCTGGCACCCATGGAAGCCCTTTAGATAGACCCTCTGTAGAGTAACTGGCTGCTGATGCAAACTACAGCCCTCTTCAGCCGCAAGTAGCCAGACCTGTCTTCTACCTTGCCTCCTCACAGAAGTTAGGGTAATCACAAGAAGGAATATTGCAGATATTTAAGTTAATTAGATATTCTGTAGGCAGTTAGACAGGGCAGCCTCGGAGGCCAACAAGGAGGACAATCAAGACACATTCACTGAAGGTCAGAAGAGTAAAAGGAAACTACCACACCCATGTAGGATAAATAGCAGTGACTGATATTCTAAATAAGTATCAATCACCTGGGTGGGGGACAAAGATCTTCCTAGAAAGATCCCTGACCCACCCCTTTCCTCCGAAAATCCTTGCTCATTCCTAGTACGATTTTACGTGACTTGTTTCCCCATTGGATCCCCATTTAATCAATATTACCTGGGTGACTGTACTTGTAATGTTATCAGTTGGTCACGGTTTTGTCCCACCTCATGCCCACCTTGTAAATTTCCATTGGGTCTTACAGTTTTTCCTCACCACATGGCTTTGCTGTATAAAACATGTTTGAAAAGTGGGGTGGACAGGCAACCCACTTTCCTGTCCCCCTTCTGTCTCTTAGAAGCTTTCCCTCAATAAATTTTTCCTACTCTTAAAAAAGAAAAAAAAAAAGCCTACTGCTGGGCCCCAGGCATAGCAACATTACCATTCATGAAACCACTGTTATTTTTATTTTTCACCTTGTACATCAGATGCTTTTATCTAAACATTTACACATCAACCAACCTTTAAAAAATGGCAGTTTTTTCTCAGATGTCATTTATTAGAAAATACAATTCCAGAGAAAGTAGAAGGTACAAGGAGTTTGGGAAGTGGGTACAGTACAGACCTCTTCAAATCAGGGGCACAGAAGGTCAAAATAAAATGAGCTACAGGCAAAAAGCCAGTAACACATCTATGGTCCATATATCCAGAACGGCTCTATCCCTCCCCGCTCCCCCAACAGACAGCTTCATCCTTGGCATTTTTAATGTAAAAGAAAAATCTAAATTTCTTTGCTGCCCTGCGACATCAGTGAGTGGAGTTTCTTTCCCCAGCACCTCTCAAATCCAGCCTCCTCCAGCGCAAGGAAAATCCCTAGGGAAAACAGTGGCGCTGTGGACTCCACCCCACAGCCATGCTTCCGACTGGGCAGCCCTTTGGTTCCAAACAGGTTTATGGCCCCACAGAATGAGGGGAATTCTCAGAAAAATTGTGACAGAAAAGGCGATTGGGAGAGAAGCAGCACAACAAAGAAGAGGAGGGAGAGGGAAATGCTTTGCAGAAGTGACACAGCAGGCAGCCTCGCTAGCATCTGCCTCCTAGGTACATCTGAGGGCTGGGCAGCATTTTGTCCCACCAGAAACACTTACTTGACAGAGAGACCTATGGGGAAGCACCCCCAGCCTACTCGCGGGGACCGGATGGCCCACAGCAGGGCAGAGAGAACGGAGGGTGGGGAGGAGACAGTATTCAGGCCGAGTCCTAACCAAGGAGGGGAAATGAGAGGAAAAACTTGCCCCTAACACGGGTCCCTGAAAACAGGTCCTTGGCGGAACCCGGATGATACGGATGGCCCTTCCTTACACATGTAGGTATCACGTCGCTCTCCTTTGGAGGCAAAATCAGAAAGGTCCTTCCGGGCTTCAGGCCAGCCCAGGCCCCCTTCCCTCCCCGCCCGGCTGCCCTGCTCGAAGAGAGGGAGGCTGGGCCTGAGGACCCACTGGGCCCCTCCCCGCATCATTCCTATAGCTAGAAAGCCGAACCGAACCGAACACCTAGGGAAAAGTCCAGTAAGAACCTTAGTCATACAAAAGTCCGAACAGTCTTCCTCTCGTGCCTTCTGAGGCATATGTATGTCCCTTCTCGCAAGGCTTCCTGTCCCATCTAGGACATTACTATTTCATTTTTTAAAAATAAAAATAAAGATATCCACCCACCCTCCCCTCTGCCGCTACCTCATACAGCCCGCCCCCCACACAACCAAACCAGGCATTGCTCCCTTGACACAAGGTAAACTTGAAACTTTGCTGCGACTTCACAGCTTCCGGGATGCTCTGCACGGCCAACCCAAGTCCAGCCTGCGGAGGAAGGGGCGGCCGAGAGCACCTGGCTCCCCGCCTCCTGTCCCGGAGGCCCGCAGAACAAGGGCCCTGCCCCTTCCCGGCGAGGGGAGAGTCATTTCTCCCAGCTCGGGCCACCAGCTGGAGGTCCTGGGCCGCGTGGCTCTGCTGGGCTCACAAGGTCCCATGGCTTCGAGAGCCCAGTGCGAACCAGCCCGTCTTCTCGTGGGCCAGGTCCAGCTCCCGCAGGCGGATGTGCACCTCCCCGAGGAGCACGTTCTCCCAGAACCCCTGCTCGCTCAGCACGCTCAGCTGCAGCTCCCGCTGCTGCAGGTCTCCCTTGGGGATCCCATCGTACACCAGCTGCAAACCAGAGTCCGGGAGAGAAGGAAGTGTGAGCGAGGGGAGGGGGATGGGGCAGAAGGAGGTGCGCGGGTCCCAGGCCAGAGCCCCTGTGTCTCCCCACCCTGCAGGGCCCAAGGGAACCCAGGGCCCAAGGGAACCCAGGGCCGCAGAGAATCCACGGGAGGTCACAGAGTCCAAGCAGCCCAGGGCCTCTGGCTGCTGCTCAAGTTCAGCCCAAGACCAGCAGGCTCCTCCCACCCACGGGCAAAGCCCCACGCCGCCATCCTAATGCCAGGGGGTCAGAAAGCTTGTTAGTCCAGGCGTAGTGCCTGCCTGCAAGCAGGAGACTGAGCCACGAGGATCGCACTGAGTTCAAGACCAGGCTAAACTACATTTTCTTTTAAAAAGGAAGCTTTCTATGTAAAGGGCCAGATAGTAAATAGTTTTAGCTTTATAGGTAAAGTCTAGGCCACAAGTACACAAGCCTACTACTGCAAAATGAAAGCAGCCAGACAATACCCAAGTCAGGAAGTATGCCAGACATGCTCCAGTACAGCCTATGTATCTGTGTTGTACTGGGAATGGGTCCCACAACCTTCACACTGAGCTACATCCCCAGGGTCTCGCTAAGTTGTCCAGGCTCGGCTCAAACTTATGACCCTCCTGTGTCAGCCTCCCCAAGTAACAAATACAACTTTATTTAAGAGAAGAGGTATAGTGTGCCAACCCCTGCCCTATGCCCCCACACACCATCTCATTGTAGGTAGGGTTGCAGGTTTTCCGGGCCACTTTCGTTTTCCTCTTAGTGGTTTTCTGAGGGTCAGGAAGGAGGTAAATCTTCACATAGGGGTCAGGGTCATTCCCATCCTGAAGCAGTTGCTGTAACAACAAAAACAACAATGAAAAGATAACGATTCTTTTTTTTTTTTTTTTTCCAGTACTGGGGATTGAACGTAGC